CCCATTCTATCTCACTTCATTTCGTGTCTTTTGCTCTGCAACTTACTGATTTCTTTACCAAGACTCACACTGCTGCTCGGTTTTAGTTTTTTCTTGACCAACTCTTCGTGTTTTCTACTAAAACACCTTGAGTTTGAGCGAGGGTGTGAGAATATATTGCATATATTGTATGTATCTTCTATATTAGGAATTAGGAATGATTGTGGTCCTGTAAATATTCCAATTGATTGTATTTTCTTTTGCAGTCATAGGTTTAGGGTTATATAAATTGATGTACCCCTTTGTAAAGTTTACACATTGAATATGCAGAACCATTCTGAAATCTTACAGCACCCAAGCCTAAAATAAACTGAAGAGATAGTACATTATGGTTTAACCTAGCACAACCTTCCAGAGGTTTGAAAGAAAGTAATTGGAGAACCATTAAAACTGAAGGTCTGACAGTAGAGATACAAAACGGAATTCACTCCTTCCATTTTACACCAAATCTCATCCTACTCATCACATGAAGAAGGAACTCCCAATCTATATGGTCATATGCTTTCTCAATGCCAAGCTTGCAAATCAACTCTGGTCTCCCACTCCGCAATCTTGATCCAAACCTTTATTGGCCATTAGCACCATATCTAAATTTGTCTTTCCCCTACAAAGCATTTTGAGACCTAGAAATGAGACTAGGCAACACTACCTTCAATTGCCGAGCTAACACCTTCAGCAAAATTGTACACCCCTTTGAGCAAACTGATAGGCCAGAATCCTTTGTCTCCTTTGTTCCCCTTTTGGGGATCAATGCTTTGAAAGACTTATTCAAGTTCTTCCCAATCATATCACCTCTCTGACCACCTCCCAACAATGCTAGGAAAATGCCAGAATTGTTTGTTTAGTGCCCAGGGCCTTGTACCCATTTAAGGACTTCAAGTCCAAAATGATATTCTTCTCACAGAAAGGACAGTCTAGCCAAATCCTCTGCTCATCAGAAATGTGGCTGAATTCCATGCCCTATACTCTAGGCCTCTGTCACCATCTACTTGAATCTCCAACACCCATAATATGAAAAGAGACCCTCATAAAACCGTGCAATTCCACTTCTATGCTTCTCCTTTAAATTCAAAATTGTCCCTAACTCAAATCTTATTAATGAAGTAACCTGTTTGTGAGCATTTGCTATCTTATGGGAAAAAAATGAGTTTTTTTTATTTATTATTATCTCCTTTCTGAAGCCAGGGTTTTCTCTACTTTGTCTCTAACTAATCTCTTCCATCTTTGTAATCTTAGCAAACTCCTTTTTTGCATTTGCAAAAGCTTCCCCCCTCCAACAAGACCCAACTACTCTCCAATTTATTCAAAGCACGAATGTCTTCTGAGACTCCTGCTTTTTGAACCCTCAGATTCTCTAACTCCTCCTTCTTCCACTTCTTAAAATCTTTCTTCAATATTTCATCTTTTTGGCCCCAAACAAACTCGAACTTCTTTGCACTGAATAAATTCATTGTACCCCAATCTTATTTTGGAAATGCTTCGTTGAACCAAATATTTTCTAATTGATCAACGATCTCCCTCTTTAATTATGCCAATTGTAAAGTAATAATGGGAAATGATCCAATATTGGCTCCCGTAACAAATAATTGACCATCTTAAAAAAGTGTAATGCTCAATCCAAAGAAACAAAAAAATCTGTCTATTTGAGACATTGAAAGCACCATCTTTGCTATTTGATCAAGTGAAACAACCCCCACTAGTGGGAGGTCTATCAAACTGAACTCGTCAACAAACTTGGAGAAGGCTTCAGTAGGTCTAGAGATATGCATGCAATGAGATCGTTCAGACGGGTAGTGGACAATGTTAAAATCACTCACGGGTAGCTGACCGTGTGACATCTCATTTAAAGCAATAGCTGCTACCTCCTCCCACATATCCCTTCTATCTGCATCCTCTACTAGGCAGAAAGAGCCGGAAACAATCCACATAAAGCCATTGTCTATTCATTTAAACAACAAGAGACAAAGAACGTCCCAATATTGCATTCCTCCCTAGCTATCATCTTGCTTTCACACATAAAAGCACTACTTGTCCACAACCCCTAAATACTCCCTATCTGTTGACTTGCTCCCCCAATACTTCTAATTCTTCAATGTCCATATATTTTCCATTTTTCATCTCCTATAAACACACATCCACTTTTTGATCTTTTAGGAAATACTAGGAGTCATAAGGCCTCATACATTTCAACTGATTACTTTTTTCCTCATGATAACATGCATAACAATCCCCTTCCCTTTCTAAGCGCACTTGTATTTTCACCTATGCACCTTCTATGCAATCATAGTTCATTGTACACTAAAATTTTTAACTATCTTCCTGATGTGCTCCTTGTACTCCCACTCCCACTCATTGGCAACCTTCTATCTGCATATTTGTCTTGTCTTGTTGCTTTAATTGCTTCAAAAAGTTGCGTGTTCTTCTTCTTAAACCCCTCACAAAAACACTCCTAAGAATATACTGAAACCTGTCATACGTTTTCAAGACAATTTTGAATCCTCAACCTACCCTTTTTAGATAGTCCTCGAAATGAGCCTCTCCTGGAGATTGGAGCTATTATGTGTGAGAATATATTTTATAAACTTGTATATTCAATTATATTTGATTACATCAAGACCTTAGTTTATATAACCCTAACTCCCAAACCAAAAAAAGGAAATACAAGATTTACATAATCACAATCATGCCTAATATATACACAATTAGAATTACGCCAAATATAGAATATATACAATATATTCTCACACCCCCTCTCAAACTCAAGGTGTTTTAGCAGAAAACACTAAGAGTTTGTCAAGAAAAAACCGAAAACGAGTAGTGGTGTGAGTTTTGGTAAAGAAGTTAGTAAGTTGCAGAGCCGAAGTGACAAAAGAAAGCGAGATAGAGCCAGATTGGTGATGTTGATGGATGAAGTGACAGTCAATCTCAATGTACTTCGTCCGTTCATGAAAGACAGTGTTATGGGCAATCTAAATAGTACTGCGGTTGTCACAGTAGAGAGAGGATTGAGGGACGCCTAAGTCAGATAGAAGACAATGAAGCCAGACAACTTCAGCAGTAGCATGAGCCATAGGACGGTACTCAGCTTTGGTAGAGGAATGGGCAACAACAGTTTGTTTATTTCTTTTCCAAGAAATCAAGGAATTGCCAAGAAACATACCGAAATCAGAAGTGGACTTACGATCATTAACATCACCAGCCCAATCAGCATTAGCATAGGCCACCAAATCCAAGGAAGGAGTAGAAGACAACAAGCAGCCTTGAAAGATAGCAATGCGAAGATAGCGAAGATAACGAAGAATCCAAATCAAAGCAACCCAATGTGTAGAGCGAGGAGTAGAAATGAACTGGCTAACCACATGAACAGCATAAACAAGATCAGGGTGAGTAACCATTATATAGACTAAGCAACCTACAAGCTCTCAATATAAAGTAGAATCATCTAGAGGGATACTATCAGTAGTGTTGAGCTTCACATTAAGCTCAACGGAGGTATCAGAAATCTTAGTGTCAGTAAGACCGGCACGGTGAATAACTTCGTTAGCATACTTGGCTTGAGACTGCAAGTAGCTCTTGGGAGAAGAAATCATCTCAATACCAAGAAAATACTGCAATTGTCCTAGATCCTTCATTTCGAAAGTGTGGAAGAGATGTTGTTTGACCTCAGAGATAGTAGAAGAGTCAGAACTAGAGCCAGTGATGATCATATTATCTACATACAGTCATAAGGCAACAAAACCAGCAGAGGTGTGGAGGAGAAACAAGGCAGTCTTGGGCACAATGATTAAACCCAAGTAGTGTAACAGTTGTCTGAAAGCGATCATACTAAGTACGAGGAGATTGCTTCAAATCATACAGAGCACGTCAAAGACGACAAATCTGTCTAGATGAATGGTGAAGGTCAGGGGGAGGACTCATGTAAACCTTCTTAGTGAGATGGCCATTAAGAAAAGCATTCTTAAGATCCATAGATAAATCAATGAAAGTATACAACATCATCAAACCCTTCTTCCTCAACCTCCCAATTGAATCCAAATCCCTCATCATTCTAGCAAAGCCTGCCCATACATCACCAAAGTCAGGTTTCATAATGCAGATCAACTCCTTTCTTCTCATATTGCCTAGAAAACCCCTTCCCCTTTGAGACTTCAAAGCTTCAAGCATCATCTTGGCCAACCAGGGAAAATTTCAACAGTGTGAGAGATCTTTGTAGACCTATTACCTTGTTTTGTCACCCTAACTCAACTCCAATCATTTTCCTCGTTGATAGCGTCAAAAAACTTTTTCTTGCATTTAATTTTTTTCTCTTTTCCCCATATTTGTCTTTTGTTATCCGTTATTGTACTATCATGAACTTTTATTTATTAATATGATTTTTTTTTTTTGGGTGGGGTGGTTGTCTCTGCAACTTGTAAGGGACCTTGCTTGGTGCATTGGTGAATCGTCTGGCTACTGGTTGTGAAAGACATGGAATTGAGTCTAAGAGCAGCCACTTTGTGTTTGTGCATATTATGCCAAAGGTTAGGTGTGTATCCAGTCTACTCCCCTCAATTATTGGGGACTGGCTTTGTCTGATGGCCTTTTTGGATTTTCTACCATATTTACCTTCTACAAGGTCATATTGACTTCTTTATTATTCTGCCATGGGCATGTCTATCCAATATATATATATATACTATACACTTTCTGCCACAGGATATGCTTACTAATTTTGAAAGATGGGATGTTTGAATGTGTCTGCTACTAGATTCCTTCTCAATTGATTAAGAAACTGATCTTTCTTGGTTTCTTAAATCTTTTTCCATAGAAGAATCAATAGTTTCTTAGATCTTGATGTTAAGTACAAAGTTTGACTTGGTTGCAGCATTAATTCTAGAGTACTTGATTATTTTTTATTGATGTGCATATGTTGTTCTCTTTGTTATTTGCTTTTCATACATGTTATACGGTGTTCATTGCAGCCAGTCATTTTCGGGACACATCTGTTGTTGTGGTTACACTGGATTCTAGTGAAGTATATATTGTTGTCAGCTTGTCTTCTAGGAGTGACACTCAGGTGATTTATGTTGACCCAACAACTGGAGCACTTCGCTATACTGGGAAACTGGGTTATGATGTCTTTAGCTCGCAAAATGAAGCTTTAGATTATATTACTAATGGATCAAAGTTGCTTTGCAAGAGTATAGCTTATGCCAGGGCAATATTGGGTTATGCAGCCCTAGGGAGTTTTGGATTGCTTCTTATTGCAACAAGGTTGACTCCCAGCATTCCAAATTTGCCTGGTGGGGGGTGTATATGTACAGTGACCGAGAGCCAATGGATCAAAATTTCACTTCAAAATCCTCAACCCCAGGGCAAAGGAGAAACAAAGAATGCTCAAGAATTGACAGAACTTGATATTGATGGAAAGCACTACTTTTGCGAAACAAGAGATATTACTCGGCCTTTTCCAAGCCGTATGCCTTTGCAACATCCTGATGATGAATTTGTTTGGAATGGATGGTTTTCAACGCCTTTCAAAAACATTGGTTTGCCGCAGCATTGTGTCATTCTTCTGCAGGTTTTGGTTTATACATGGTATTTTCAGTGTTTTCTAATTATAAAAAAAATAAAATAAAATAAAATAAAAAATTCTGTGTTTTCTAGCTGATTGTTTGATGCTCTTTCACCAATGTCATTCTAAATATTGGGCGAGTGCCTTTACCTTCTGTACAAATGATTGCAGTGTTGTAATCTCTGCATGATATTGATTATTAATCCTTCAAAGCTAATTTTTGGATTATTAATTTGCTTGTGCATACTACTTTAGCATATGTGACCTTCATGTTACAATGGAGTACCAAGAAATTTTGATATTAAGAGGGCAGGCTGTGCGCGACATGTTAATGTAATGAGATGGCTTCCAAATTTGACACAGAATTATGCAAGACAAATAATGGCTTTATGACTACTGATTTGTTGATATGTAATGAATTGCCCAAGAAAATTTTGGCAAAAAGTGCTATATCTTCCTCACCTATCTCCATACCATCTCCCAAGATCACACTTTCCTCCCTCCCCACCTTAAAAACTATTCCTTTCCTTGAAATTTCACTAGGCTTTCTAAGAAGAAACATATTGATCTCATAGGTTTGGAGAGAATCTATCAATTCTTCAGTCTTCATCATCCTAAGATTCTTGCTGTATTCTATGACTGTGACCTTGGCCTTAAAACACCCAGAAGAGGCCTAGGACTGTCCTCACATTTTTTCCCCTCAATAATTGTTTCTCCTACACTGAAAGTGGCAGGCACTATGTCACTAAGTCTAGCATAGGATTGGTCAAAGGTTTCATATTCTACCATCCTACACTCCTCAAACCTCATGGTCAAGGCTTGAAATTTAGACTCCTTCGCAGTTTGGGTACCCTCGTGGGTAAACATCAAAATGTCCCAAGCATCTTTGGCTATCTCACAATCAGAGATGCACCTGAACTCACTAGGGGTTACCACTCTGAAAATTGCAGAAAATGCCTTATACCCCATATTATCAATGCCAGTTTGATCTCATTGCGTATTGGTCTTTACCTTTTTCTCTTTTGTTTCCAGTTCAATCACATAAAGGGTCTCAAATCCGTATTGAATGAATGGACTAAACACGCTCAACAAGAGATTTCAGGAAGTGCTTCTTCTTAGCCTTCCAAAATGGGTAATTGCTTCCATTGACTAATGGTGGTGTAGACATGATACCACCTTCTCTCTTAGAATCCATCTCCATGGACTCAAAACAAAAGATCTATCGAACCAGTTAAGCTTCTAATTAACTGCTCAGATGCCAATTGAAATTCTAAACATCAAAGTTTTTGTGCCTAGAGAGCGGGGTGAATTGGTGAAATCTTTCAAATCAATTCCGATTTTAAAATTAAATTAGTGATTAAGAGAACTCCAGGAAATTCGATTATCAATCAATGAATCAATCCATCAATTAAGCAAGTTTACATACAATTAAGTACACCACAAGTTTCATCAAGCTTTATCTCAGCTCTGAAGTGGCATTGACTCCATCACACATTGTAGATTCAATATCCTCTAGGTAGCTTCTTGCATTAATCTTTGTCTTCAATGGCTTTGTTGCTCAATATACATGGTATCTATGAAGCACCTACACTTCAAAACAAGTGCCGTATCCATGTTGTATACACGGACACTTCGGGGACACGGGGACACGCGAACACTTTGGGGACACGTATGGGACACACCACATGGCTTGTCCCTTCATTTAATTAATTTATTTTCTGGGGACTTACCGGGGACACTTCGGGGACACACTAGGGACATGCCAAGTTGTCTTTTCGCTCATTTTATTTAGTGTTTTTAATGAATGTTGAATGTTTATTATTATTTTTTTTCCTTAAATTTAAATACTTAATAGATTATCCATAAAAATATATAAACTGTAAGTTTTGATTTAAAAGTGTTTTTTAAATTTATTTATTTATAGAATTAGGGTTAGTTTTTGTTAATATTGATTGTTTGTGGATGAAATATTAATCTAGATAGCAAATACAAATATATGAAAACATATTTTATGGCTATGTGCCTGCCATGTCCGTGTCTGTGTCCGTGTCCCAATTTTTTTGAAATCACCATGTCCTGTGTCCGTATCCGTGTCCGTGTCCGCATCCGCATCCGCATCCGCATCCGTATCTATGCCTCTTAGCATGGTATTCATGAGACAGAGAGTGAATTGTGAAGGTTCTGATGAGTTGTATATCAATCTAGATGAGACTAATGAGATCAATTCATAATTTGATGCTCTAGATTTAAGACCAAATGAGATTCATCAATAGAGTCTTGATGAACAAGTCATGAAGCAACTATAGACATAGAAAGTGGGTCTAATTGCTTCAATAAACATCACTAACATACTTAAAATGCTAAAATGGTGACTTTTAAACGAACACGGTTACAGGAGCACAAAGGTCATAAAAAAGTTGAACATAAGCCGACAATGCGAGTGCACGTCTCAGTAGTTTTAGTGTTCAAGTGCTTGTAGGGCATTGAGCAAGCGTCCTTACCCAAAAGGTAGAGCGCTTGAGCACCTAAAGGCCACTAAGCAAATGGACCTCTTGAGTTCTTGTAGAGCGCTGGTCAAGTGGGCTCAAAAGAACAATGTCAAGAGGAGAAATCAGAGCAGATAAAATCGAAGTCCTAAGATGGGCTGGTGCCTATGTGCAAGTGAGATATAAGGCAGTGATGTGCAGTGGTTCAGATGGGTCTTTTACCTGCCAGCAATGAAACCAAAGACTGCGTCAATTGCTGAAGAAGATCTTGTGAAGTGGTGAATTCAATCTCACTAACCTAAAGCCTTAAAAGTACAGACTCCAGAGGTTTCGTTCATCATCGGAAATTGCCAACCTAGCTAAAGCTATCTTCACATAATCTTGCCAATAACAATAAAATTGCAAAATCGGAGCCCTAAATAATGGAATCTGCTTCAAATTCGCTTTAGGTCACAACAAAGATGCAAGTATTGATCATTGGACTGTTTCGGATCGAACATGGATCTTTTGAAGCATTTATGACAATGTCGGGCTGACCGCAACTTACTATTTTGCAATTTGATGGTCAAATTGCTCCAAGAATTGGGTTGCCGCCAGGTCTGTGTCAAAATGTTTGCATCTCAACATGCAAGATAGAGTTGCACGTAAGGAAGGGTGTTAGAACAATTTAAGCTTTTGGAACAATTGGTGATCTGACACCATTATCCTTGCTTTTACTGCTTAATTTGCCTTGTAGCATCTATTGTTTTTAAATTCACAATTAAATGATTCACTGTGCCTAAAACCATGGAGTCAAAATGGTATATGAAATACTGTGGTTATGTTAAAAATAAATCGGCATGTTTTAATGTTCGCTTAATTGATATCTATGTATAGGGTTTTGCAGAATGTCGAACTTTTGGAAGTTTAGGTCAGCAAGAAGGAATAGTTGCTCTCACTGCTCGAAGAAGCAGGCTGCATCCTGGTACTCGATACTTGGCAAGGGGCTTAAATTCATGCTTCAGTACAGGTAACATAGCTATTTAACCTCCTTAAAGCTCAAATTGTTTTAGGGTGGTCCGATAGCCAAGGCAGCCTAGGTTTTTGGCATGGCCAATTTTTGTGGAAAGAAAAAACTACCCTCAAATAGATTATTCTCATCTTATTCAAAGGGTACATTTTCCCTCCCACCCAAATTTGCCCCGGCAAAAGCCATGGGTGCCTTGACAACATGGCCGCCCCATCTTTTGAACTATCATATGCTAGTTTGAAGGAATAATTGCACATATGGGTTGTCTTCCAGCATGCTTGCTCTTTTTAAATGGCCCTTTTTTAAGTTTATATTGTCTTTGTTTACTGTTCATTGTTATGTACATATGCTTCAGATGAAAATTAATAGCTCACGTCATGCATGTCTGTGTTGTGGTATCGTTACAATCAATGCCATTGTATTCACCCCCCAAAAAAAATCAATGCCATTGTAAGGAATTGAGGAAACTAATACTGGCCTACTGCAACTGTTTTTTGTATCCATTCTATTTTTGTACTGATAAAACATACATTCATCGACAAAATCCACCTTTTCTTGACCCCTGTAATTTAGATTAGCTGTTCACCTTTACTTGATCTAGGTCATCTAAGTCATTTTAGATGAATGATACATTGGAAAATGCTAACTTTAGCCTTCTTTTTTTTCATTCACCCGAAAAAACTCTAACGTGTTTTAGCTTGTGAGTGATTGCAATGCAGGATCAACACATAAAGTTGTCAAACAGATTGGGGATGTATCTATATTTTGTTACATACTAATTCATATGCCACAGAAGTATCCATTTTGATTTTCTTATTGGCTTCTCTGGTACAATTTTGGGGGTTAACGTTGGGCTAGTTTATTTCTGTTTAATGAGTTGGAGTTCTGATATATAATTTTGTATTCTTCAGATTGCATTGTATCATTTTCAACCTTTTTTCCCCTCATATACTAAAACACATTTCCATATATACACATTTCATTGTATGTATCCATTCACTGTCTCCTTCCCCCTCCCACCCACAATCAACTTTGTGCCACTTATCTTGTGCCATTGATTTTATTTCCTGCCATGTATCTTAGTTATTTATTGTTAAATGAATTTCTGGGATCCTCTGATGACTGCTTTTGACAGGCAATGAAGTTGAGTGTGAGCAACTCGTATGGGTCCCAAAAAAGGCTGGTCAAAGTGTTCCATTCAACACGTATGTTTGGAGACGAGGAACGATTCCGATCTGGTGGGGGGCAGAATTAAAGATCACTGCAGCAGAAGCAGAAATATATGTTTCAGATAAAGATCCTTATAAAGGAAGTGCACAGTATTATCAGAGGTTAAGTAAGAGGTATGGTGCACTGAACCTAGATGCAGCTGTTGGTGGGAATCAGAAGAAAAATGCTTTGCTTCCAATTGTGTGTATCAACTTGCTTAGAAATGCAGAGGGAAAATCAGAGTTCATTCTAGTGCAGCATTTTGAGGAATCCATGAACTATATCAAATCAACTGGGAAACTTCCTAGCACTCGAGTTCAATTGGTAAACTATGATTGGCATGCCAGTATAAAATTGAAAGGTGAGCAGCAAACAATTGAAGGACTGTGGAAACTTCTAAAGGCACACACAGTGTCTGCAGGCATTTGTGAGGGGGATTATTTGCCCTCTCGTGGGCGAATTAACGAATGCAGTGGTGAAATCATCTTTTATGATGATTTTGAAGGTGCATTCTGCCTGAGATCACATCAAAGCGGAGTTATACGTTTTAACTGTGCAGATTCTTTGGATAGAACCAATGCTGCTAGTTATTTTGGTTCTCTCCAAGTTTTTGTAGAGCAATGTAGACGGCTAGGGATATCTCTTGACAGTGATCTCGCATTTGGTTCTCAGTCTACTAATAATTATGATGGATATACTGCCCCACTGCCACCAGGCTGGGAGAAACGATCTGATGCAGTAACAGGGAAAACATATTATATTGATCACAATACTAGGACCACCACCTGGAATCATCCATGTCCAGACAAACCTTGGAAGAGGTTTGATATGACATTTGAGGAGTTTAAGAGATCAACAATTTTGTCACCAATAGCTCAACTGGCTGATCTTTTCCTGCTTGCCGGTGATGTTCATGCAACATTGTATACTGGTTCTGAAGCTATGCACAGCCAAATTCTAAGCATCTTTAATGAGGAAGCTGGCAAATTTAAACAGTTTTCTGCAGTGCAGAATATGAAAATCACTTTGCAGAGGAGATATAAAAATGCAGTTGTAGATAGCTCTCGTCAGAAGCAGTTAGAGATGTTTCTTGGATTGAGGCTTTTCAAGCATCTTCCATCAGTTCCTGTTCAGCCTTTACATGTATGTTATTTTGTGGATTTTCTCAAATGATCCAAATGTACTTTTATTGTTTGATGTTTCTCATTGTGCTTTATGCATTTCACACTACATTGACGATATCACGCTGTATTGCTTAATCATTTGTTAAAGATGTTTCTTTGTTATCTTATACCTTTTTTTATTTTTTTTATCTCATCCCGCCCCCACCCTGACGCAATATCATATGTTAGAATAATATAATGTTATATTTATTTGTTTTTATTTACCTTAGCTGTAATTAGCTGGTCCCTGATTTTATGCCTTAGGGCTTCCTTGCAATTAAATTATTTTTGATTAATATAAAAGGGAATGAGATCATTCCATTCCCTAACTTTTATTCTCCCTAAATCGATCATGGTATTAGAGGCATATACCTAAACCTATATACCTTCAGCCAGCCACTACACAACCACCACATAGCCACCCAACAAGTTTCGGTCACCTACCTGGTCTGCCTAAGGGTTATGACAGCCATCAAAGCTCCCACAGGCGCAGTCGTCTGTTGTCGGAAGCCACCTAGGCCTAGTCGACCATCGATGAAGGTTGCCTATGCCTAGTTGACCACTGCCGAAGGCCACCCAGGCATAACCGACTGTCGCTGGAGGCTCACCAGGACCAGTCGGTAGTCCTTCTGCCCAGCCGACAGTCCCTCTGTCTGTTTCGGCTCCATCAGCAGCCTCCCCGCTCTTTGTCGGCTCTTGCTGAGGTATCTGTGGGACTCTGGTTCTGGGTATGTATTGATTTTTTTTTTGTTGTTTTGTTTTGATGCCCAGAACACCTCCAAAGCAGGACTCTTAGGATTTACCCTTACAAGTCAAACTGGGGGAAGCTAGCCGATCCACCTGAACTGTCGGACTTCCACTTGAGTAGTAGGGGATTCGAACCCTAATCAGTAAGGAGAGGAGCAAACTCTTTTACCAACTAGGATGACGCCTTGGTGGTTATGTATTGATTGATTCACCTAACAACCTGTTCTACACATGAAAACCTCCTTTTTTATACTTTTTAATATAGTACCGTCTCTGTTTTGATTGGTGGCTCTTTTCCCCCCTCATTTAATTTGTTATATGGCCCCATTAATCTAAATATGATGCTCCCATAGTGGTTTGTGCTACACCTTGCTTGTTCATTCCATTCCATTCCATCCTTTGGTTTTTTTTTTTGTGTGATTAGTGCAGTGTTCTTGGGTTAGGATAGTAGATTATACATGGCTGAGTTGACCAATAAATCCACCAGTACCTTTCAGCCTTCTAAAGGGGAGAGTCCGGTAATGACTACTACACCTGACAACCTGAATCCTAGCCTTAAAATCACTACCTCTCTATTTAATGGTCAGAATTACCTGGCGTGGTCGCAGAGTCTGACACTTTTTCTGAAGAGTAGGGAGAAGATGGGTTATGTTGATGGAAGAATACAAGTACCTAGCACCACAGATTCTAGTTATGACTAGTGGGAGATTACAAATTCTCTGATTATGGGATGGCTCATACACTCTATGGTTCTTGAGATTGGTGAAGGATACTTGTCCATGGATACTGCACAAAACATTTGGGAGGCTGTGGCTGCTACTGATTCCTGGAAAGGGAATTTCTCATAGACATTTGTGTTGCGCCGCTCTATTGAACGTTTAGTATAGGGTGAGATGACTATTCTTTAGTACTTTACTTTCCTTAGCAATGGTTGGAAGCGTCTCGATCATCTTCAGGATTATAAGCCAGTTTGTCCGACTGATTTCGCGGGTTGTCGTAAGTTTGTTGAGCAGGAGCGGGTCTTCAAATTTTTGAAGGGTCTAAATGTGGAATTTGATCCTGTTCGGAGTCATGTTCTTGGCATGGATGTGCTTCCTTCTTTTCAAGAAACATTTGCATATGTGCAGAATGAGGAGAGTCGTTGTTCTACTATGTTTCCTCCTGCCTCCACAGAGCGCTCGACCTTAATTTTTGGTCCTCCTAGAGATAGGGATCGTGTGTCCCATTGTACCCGTAATCCTTCTGAGAAGGATAATTTATCTTGTGATTATTGTCGCCGGCCTAGATACACTCGTGAGACCATTAGAAGCTTCATGGGGTTCCATTTGGGGGTCCTGGTGATCGCTCTGGTAGTCGAAAGGGTCGATTTGGACAGTCTAGAGGACATAGATCCACACCATGTGCCCATCATTCTGGTACAGTTGATACTCGTGATTCTGCTGCAATTGTTCAGTCTCTTAGTGATGTGTTTGGTATGTTCGCTTCTGAGTTTGAGGATGCACTGCGTCAATTATTGGACCGCTGGTCTTCTACTACTCCTGCAGGTGCATCTTTCTCTTTGTTTGCCCACTCAGGTACCTTAGCTTCTTCTACAAGTGCTTTCCTCTTACATAAGACTTTACCTTGGATTATTGATTCAGGTGCATCAGATCACATGTCTGGGTCTTTTGATCTGTTCTCGGAATATAAGCCCTCTTCTGGTCAGGACAAAGTTAGAATTGCTGATGGTACTATTTCTTCTGTTTCTGGAAAATGTTTAATCCATGCAACTCCTTCTCTCCCTTTATCTTCCGTTTTACGTGTTCCCAATATTTTAAAGAAATTTTCATCTTTGAGTTGTCTTACTCAGGATTTGAACTGTAATGTGACATTTTTTCCTGATTATTGTCTTTTTTAGGACCTTATCACGAGGAGGACAATTGGCAGTGATAGAGCAGAAAATGGTCTCTATATCCTTGATTAGGCAGACAAGCTGGCTCATCAATCCATCTGGTTACCAACCATCAAGGAAGACCTGTGGCTATGGCATCGGCAACTTGGACATCTGTCTTTTTTATTACTTATGCATTTATTTCCTTCTATTTTTACAAACAATAATGTTTCTGAGTTTTATTGTGAGTCGTGTCAACTTGGGAAACAGCATAGAGCCTCTTTTGCTCCCAGTCTTAAAAAAAGTTTGGTACCTTTTTCCTTAATTCACTCAGACATTTGGGGTTCATCTTGTATTGTGTCTTTGAAAGGTCATAGATGGTTTGTTACTTTTATCGATGATTTTTCTTGTACTTCTTGGGTGTATCTTATGAAAGACAAAAGTGAGGTTTTTTCTGTGTTTCGTAAGTCCATCAAATGCTTTGTACTCAATTTGAGGCGGTTGTCCAAATATTGCGTTATGATAATGGGGGTGAGTATATCGATTCTGGCCTAGTGAGCTATTTTTCCACCCATGACATTATTCATCAGACTTCTTGTACCAACACCTCTCAACAAAATGGGGTTGTGGAACGCAATAATCGTCACCTTCTTGATATGGCTCGTTGCATGTCTTTCGAAATGCATATGCCTCTGTCTTACTGGGGGGAAGCAGTTCTCACTGCTACTTATCTAATCCACCGTCTCCCAACCCAAGTATTGCACAAGCACGCTCCTCTTCAGGTGCTCTTAGGATCCAAGTCCGTGTTCTATATTCCCGCTAAAACCTTTGGGTGTGTCTGCTTTGTTCACAATAATTCCCCTTCTCGGGGTAAATTGGATCTATGTCTTTCTGGGTTATTCACCTACTCAAAAGGGCTATAAGCTAAGAAGCATGGACACGGACACGTGACACGACACGGATACGACACGGACACGCCGACACGATAATTTTCAAAAAATGTAGGACACGACACGCGGGGGACACGCATGAAATATATAATTTTATATATTTATTATATGTTATATATATGAATATATCATTCAAAAATAATAAAAAAATGCAATATGACATTAATCCCTATAAATTTATATGATTTTTGTTTTATTATTGTATCTTAAGTTGTTTTGTTCAAACTTATAATTAGTTTCACATGTGTCTAATTGATAGACATGTGTGTTTAAGAGATGGACACATGTGCCCTCCAAGTGTCCATAGAGTGTCCGGGTCTTTAAAAGATAGGACACGTTATAAAGAGTGTCGGACACGTGTCGGGAAAGTGTCCAAAGAGTGTCGGTGTCCGACACGGACACGACACGGATACGTTACCTTTTTAGAAGTGTCCGTGTTTCTTAGGCTATAAGTGTTATCATCCACCGTCTCGCAAGTGGTTTGTTTCTATAGATGTTACATTCTTTGAGTCTCAATCCTACTTCTTGTCCTCTCTGGTGTCCTAGTCATCCCTTCAGGTGGAGCCTTGGTGTGAAGAGATTCCTGGATCTTTATTAGTTCCTGGAACATTACCGGTGGTTCAAAATGTAGAATGTGGACCAACTGTTGTTGGAAATATAGAATCTAATGCTCTTGAGGAAGGGCGAGTTTATGTCAGGGACAAAGACAGACATAAAGTTACTTGGATACAAGAGACCACTTCTGATCCTCCACTGTTATCTCCTTCTTCTGATGAGAGTCCAAGTAACTCTGAAACTCTTGTTCCTCCTGAGTATACTAATATTGATATTCTTGAGACTTCCGAGCATTCTGATCTTGATATTCCCATTATCAAACGGAAGGGGGTGAGGTCTTGTACTCAACATCCTATCTCTAATTTTGTGTTCTACTCTAATTTATCTCTTTCTTATAAAGCTTTTGTGTCCAGAGTTTCTTCTGTTAGTATACCTAATCATTTTCAGGATGCTCTTGCTACTCTTGAGTGGAAACATGCCATGATAGAAGAGATGAGAGCACTCCGTAAGAATGACACTTGGGAATTGACTGAGTTACCTAAGGGCAACGACCTGTGGGATGCAAGTGGGTGTATACTATGAAGCACAAAGCAGATGGTTCAATTGAGCGTTACAAGGCTAGACTTGTGGCAAAGGGCTTTACTCAGACTTATAGTGTAGACTATCAATAGACATTTGCACTGGTGGCTAAGATGAATTCAGTCAGGGTACTCCTTTCTTTTGTAACTAATCCAGATTGGCCACTTCACCAGTTTGATGTGAAAAATGCGTTTTTACATGGTGATCTAGAAGAAGAGGTGATATGGACATTCCTCCTGGCTTTGAAGACCTTAAAACAAAGGGTAAGGTGTGCA